GTAATATAATTATTACGCACAATTGTAGCCTGATTGTACTATAATGTGATGTACAATGTTTATTTCTTTTCTAGATCAGTTCTACCTTTTGAATTATTGTTCATTCACTATATAAGCCTTTTGGTATTGGTATATAAATGGACTGTTTTGTTATTATTTTCTATTTCTCGCAAGAATGATGAATCGAAAGATGATGGAATTGAATCTCCCAACCCAACGGACAAACCCACAAGAAGGTTATTTGAATCATTTTTTTTTATATATATTTTAATCTCCCCATTTAGTTGTATCATAATTGGTGTCAAAAAGTTAATCCTTCTTTTCCTCAATGCAGGGAGTTGCCTGAAGTGCCTAGTGGGGATGTGGAACATAAAACCTCTATGTGGCAAAATCTGAAGTCTTTTGCAAATGGATTTTTTAGTATATGGAAGAGATCTTAATCTCGTCGATCAGATATATGAGAATTTTGGCGTCCCAGCCTGAAAGTAGATGTCTTTTTTGGTTGAGGTGATATCAAGAAAGTGAATTTCATTGATTAGTCGGTTGAACTTTAATGAAACTCGGTTTACCAATTTCTGTACAGTGATCACGACCAGATGGCATGGTACATACATCGGTGGTTTTTCTGGCTGTAAAACATGTTAGCTCTTTTACTTTTTTTAGAGAAGGGGTGTGATGGTGTATGAACATAGTTATGTTATTGTCTCGATTAGGAGTTTCTTACTATTTGGTAGGAATTTATAGAGATGAAATCAGAAACATTGCAAAGTGGAAGTCAAATTAGCATGTTTTCTACTTTGCTAACATCCTTTGTAAGAAGAGATAATTTGATCTGTCCCGGAATTTTGTTGTATAGTATCATACTATACATATTTTTCTCTCTAGTAGAAACAGCCATTGGTTCAATGTTTTGGTTGTTCTCATATATCCCATGGTGCATTTAAAATTTTTATATAATAACTATCTTTTTCAGGTTATCAATTTATAAATTCATATAACTCACATGCATTAGGCTAATGGATGATCAATTCTAAATTATCTCATTTTTGGTAATTCAAACTTAGGTAAATAATGCCACAACATGATATTCCACAAAATTGTGTAACGCGAACTTGCACTTTCGCTTCGTTCAAAGCTTCGAGTCCCCTAAGAACCAATATAGAGGAACAAAATATTGAGGGTTGCTAGATGCACTGTCAAAAAAAGCCAAATTTCTACCAAGTTGTGGTAGCTATATATAGCTGGGATGCCCAATATAAAACAATTATTTAGGGCCGACTCCAAGAGAATGCGAAACTCTTTTATTCGAGTTTCCATCTTAGGGGTGACCGCACACATGTATACATACATTCACACACCCACACCACACGGCGTATAAAAATGTATGGTGAAAATGATTTTCTCTAATCTTCTTGTTTTGTTGATGTTTTGATAAGATAGCATACGCAATATACATATAGATTATAATATACATTAGTACATGATAGTCCCTCAATAGCCTATATATCAATAATACTAGATAAAAAACAATTGTTTCTTGTTAAATCGAAGTTCATCACATTGCATTTCTCTATTCTTAAATAATTTGGTAGATCAAGCTACTTGGAGCTCCAAATTGCCATTTCAGAATTTTGTACCATTGAAAAAAAAAAAAAAAAAACTGTCCAGCTCTAAAAGCATGAACTGCTGATGAGAATAATGTTATAATGGTGTAATTGCTCTGCTTGCCAAAAGAGTTTCTTCTCCTAAAAAAGCTGAAATCAGGAATGCTTCAGCAGTTGCACACATTTTGCTTCTATCCGGAAATGGAAGAAAAACATATCGCAATTTCACAGGTTGAGATTCACGCTCGACTACTTTTTCATTACGATTTATTTCTTTGATTCCCCTGCATATCTTGTGAGTGCTTATGCAAATGCAGACACCCAAAAGCAATTCATACTCTTTGCAACTTTATCCAGCTTCGAACACGCTTTCTTCTCTTTTCTAATGTTTTTATTTTCATATTCCTGCTGTTAAACAGCCATTAAACAAAAACCAAAAGAAGCGCTTGTCTTCCACCACAATGCAATCACCGAGTAAACGCTTACAAGTCTCTCAAACAACTCCAAAATGATCATCACCCCATCGGAATAGCAAAAATACAACAACAATGACTTTGCATTCATATATATTTCTCTCACTTTTCCTCTCCAACATGTATGTTAAGGGATATAATTTAGAAGTACCAATCATCTTGGAAAGAAGAAAAAAAGATAGTAACTTTCTTTATTCAGAGCTTCTATCTAACTTTCTTTCCAACTTTCATCTCCCTTTCTCTAAAGAACTCAATCCAGAGATTCAAAATCCACAATATGCTAACCCCAATTGCAGTCACAACCACGAAAACCCAAGAAACCCAAACCCACCTCGGAATCACACTATCAGCAGCCCCACTCAAGTAAAAAACAAGCATGCGGAAAACAAAATAAGGGCCGAAAAAGCCCCTGACAACAGAGTACAGAGCATAAAACGGAGGGGACAAAAGATCATACACCTTGGCTGCAGCTTTCAAGTCCGATCTCCTGGCGCTAGCCAGAGTCCACACGTTCTGGCACAAGCTCGTCACCTCCGCCAAAATCAGGAGCACGAGAATCGCAAAGGCCCCATGATGAACTACATAGCGGCAGGTGACGAACACGAAGAGGGTCGCCAGATGATGGCCGATGAAGAGGACGTCGGTCGGGTAGAAGGTGAGGTAATGGACGAGATCCATCAGGAAATAGGCAATGCTGTAGTCGAGGACGAGGCTCTGGGGATGGGTGTTGGGCGAGTGGAAATCCCGAGCCGGGTCGGAGAGGATTGCGCCGCAGGCTAATAATACGGCGGGGGTGCCGTGAGCTAGGGATATGGCGCAGCTGGAGGCTTCGGGCCGGAGGTTTCGGGCCCAGGTTCGGAAAATGATGAAATAAGCGATGAGGTAGAGAATGAGATAGAAGGCGAAGAAAAGAGGAAGGGCATTTGAAATCGATAGAGATTCTAGGGCAGCCATGATCGGAAATTTGGGGATTTGAATTGTGGGAGTCGAATGTGAAGGTTCGAAGGGTTTAGGAATTTTGTAAGGAGAGTGGCGAAGCTTATGAATTTAATTCTTTGATCCTTAAACAAACCTAACCTCTAATCTGTACGAGAAAGCCCGAGCTAGGAGCTAGGGAATCAAAGAAGGTTAAACTCGTCATCCCGAAAACCTTGACAATTAAATTAGGAGGGCTACTCACCCTTTAGCTTAGCCTTATTCCCTTTAGTGATAGATTCTATAGGAAATCTCATTTGGTCAAATACCTAGTGACAAACTCCTATATTCCTTCATCAAGCAACATTGAGTGACAAATTAAAATCGATTTTGATCGGTTGAATAATTTTTTTAAACTCTTTAACTCAAAATCCAATTCAAATTCAAATTCAATCCAACCTGCTATAGCATATAGAATAACTCATTGTTGTTTTGTTGATGGTAGACATCAACCATAATAATGGGTCGACTTAATAGCATAGCTATGCGATTTAGAAACGACAATTATTTAATATTTATGGAAGCTTTCGACTTCCGAAGATTTTAAGAAATGCAATAAATAACGTACACGTCTTGGCATTCGTCTCAAAATGTAAACGGTTATTCGACAAATACCATTCATATGAAGAATTAGGAAAATGTAGGGATGACTTACAACTTTACTATTCCATCAATCAAGAACACATTTATTGTCCACACAAGCTCTAATTTTCAACTCTGGAGAACACGCTTGCGTGTTTCCATTTCCTTTTACCTAATGAGAGAATATGCGCACGTACAATTTTAGCACATTTTGGAACTTTGATAAAATGCTTGGAACTTTTAGGCGATAATAATTTATCCAATGCCAACTCTACCCCTAAACAACCGAGTGACAAAGCCCACCACTCACGAGCTTTGCACCCTAGGAAGGATAGCCAGACATGCAAATATTCTCTTTCCATGAAATCACTTTCCTTCGGTCTCTACCCCTAAAGGACCGAGTGACAAGCCCACCACTCACGGGCTTGCAAAGCCCAATGTCAATCACTGAAGAAAAACTCCTATTGGAAGACGAGAGGTTCCCATCCTCCAGCAAGAAGTCGAAAAGCATTGCGAGACAAAGCACTTGATGACCAAGCAATAGATTTTCTTGAGCGAAAGGTATCATCTTTACAAGGTGCACATTGATCTACACGAAATCAGATAAACTCTTTTTACAAGGTGAATGAAACTAGCAAGTTTAATATTGCCCAAAAAGAAACAAATA